ACATGAAAGCACAATTTAATTAAAGCTGAAGTGCAGATGAGCTGGAATTGAAGGCAGAGGAGGTGCTATTAAACCCAAAGCTGTCTTTCATCCAGTGACCTCTGGCCTTGAGCACACAAAGTAGGCATCGTGTGTGTAGAGGGGAAGTCACTGCCCTGTTAGGATAAAAATAATCATGCTAATAATAATAATACCATGACCAATATTAGAACAATTAAAAGCATTAATTATATTGAACTATATTGAAGATGGTATCAGAGTAATGACTATTTAGCTGAATTCCATCTCAATGACTAGTTTTAATTATTAATAGTAATCATAGTGTTATTGAAACTGTCCCCTTTATCCTTCAATACCCACACTCCCTTGGTGGCCGGGATTAAGGAGATGCACATTTTAAAGTCTGAGACAGACTTCTGCAGATATTGGGTAACCTTTTGAGCACCTCCAAGTAGATCTGAGAATTAGTTCACTTTTCCCTGAGACTTGCTTATTGAGATGTTTTTTGTTTTGTTTTGTTTTTATAAGACCTCCTCTGCCTTTCCAGGACAAGGCATCACTTGGCAAAGCCCAAACAGTACACCATTTCTAACAACTTGAGAAAATATAGGCAATTCCCCTGGCCAATTCCAAGTTTGCCTTGAATTTCAATGTTCATCCCATCACTTAAAGGGATGCATATTTTTCCATTCTTACATATCACACTATAATGTGAGATATCAAATACTTGAAAACATAACAGCACCATATTTCACTAGAAATACTTATTCACCTGCTCAAACTTATTAACTTAAACTAACACAAGAATATCTGAAGTCAGGGTTTATACAATATCCTAATACATCAGCTCCCCCCTTAATGACTGGCCTACATCAGCTCCTCCCTCAATGACTGGTCTACACCTGATCCTCCCTCAATGACTGGTCTACATCAGTTCCTCCCTTAATGACTGGTCTATATCCACCCAACCCTCCCACGACTGGTCTACCAAATAGATGAAGCAGCCTTATGCTGTGGAACTCCAAACATTTTTCACAATGTTTCAACACTGGAAAACCTAACTAATTTTCCATTTGATTTGACAATGTTTATCCCAAATTGGAAAATTTCACCGTGTTGACTTCAAGTGTACTTACTTGTATACTTGATTTTAAACTACCATATTACACTTTGCTTTCTATTTTTCTTCTGCTCACTCTCAGCTGCTTCCTCCCTTCTCTTGTTTTTGTCTATTTTCCCTTATTATTGTCAGGGTTTGTACAACTACTGCATAGAGTCAAAGTTTTGTCACTGGAAAAAATCCAGTTACCTGTTAAGTATTATTTCAGCCACAATTTCTTATCCTTGCCTTTTCTTTCCTTGAACAGTTTTTCAATGTAATTTTACTTTTTTCCTTCATGGCTGGCCTGGAACTCACAGATATCTCCTGTCTCTGCCTCCTGAGTTTAGGGGTGTGAGGCATGTACCAGCACACCAGCCCATCTTGAACTTTTTAATAAGTGTTTTGAAATTCATGTATATTAACTCCATTATCTGAATCCTCTGTGGGTCTAGCTGTTTGACCCTTTTCCTCTCCTGGTTTGTAGTAACAAATTGGTGTTTCTGAATGGTTTACACAGAAAACGTAGACAAAATGTAAGGCTCTTCAATTAGAAATATTCTTCCTGGCTTCACCCTCCCTGTGAGCAGAAAGGATATGTGATAGGTAGGGTTTTAGTTGGTGGGGGGGGGCGGTAGGGGATGTGGGGAGGGAAATGGAACTGGGATTGACATGTAAAACAATCTTGTTTCTAATTCAAATTTAAAAAAAGAAAGAAAAAAAAGAAATATTCTTCCTAAAAGAATTTTAAATTTGCTTCTGAATAAAGACTATGAGAGGAATTCCCAGTGACTTTTTAACCAAGGTTTGACATGAAACTAAATCTATTTCTGACACCTAGAGTCTCTGTAATTCCAGAGGCAGGAGGATCATAAGTTCAAGTGAGTTCAAGTGCTACATGGTGAAAGAGTAAGATCCTGTTAAAACTAAACAAAGCATGGTGGAAAGGGCTGCATACTTACATCAGTGGTAGAGCCCCTGCCTAATTTGCACAGGGTCCTAGGTGTGACCTGCAACACAAACAATTTCCCATCTACCATTACCACTAGAAATAACAACATTAAGATCACAACACAAAGGCAGGAGTTAGGCAGATAAACCTTTACCTAAAATATTTTCCTCACCAGCCCTTTGAACCACACACCTTTGCTTGTCTTCTGAGATTGTGAGGTTCCCCCTGCAGAAATTGAAGAGCTGTAGAAGGGGAAACAGTTCCAAGGGCCAGCAAGACCCAATCCTTTGGGCTTCCTTCTTCTCTCATATCTCTAGTCACTGTCTTATTTACTTAAGCCTCAGAAGAGATTTTTTCATATCTGATAGCTTTTTTTTTTTTTACATTATTCCTGTGGGAAGACTGACCTCAATTGCCTACTTTCCCATCACCAAAAGTGGATCTCACGATGTCTAAACTCTAAGCATCAGAACGCTGTCTATGACTGGAAGCTTTCTCTATTCTTAGAATCTAAACACCAGCAAAGAACACATCCATAAATTTCATTTATTTACATCTTAAGTAAATATATTTATTCTGTCCTGAATGGTAGGATTGCGGTAGAGAGTACAGAGGGGAAATCTGGGTGCCTCCAGTTACTTCCATTAGAGTTAAGCTGATAGGAAAATATACTGGTAACAGGGATAAAGCAAGATATGTATTAATACTTGTCCCTGATAGAGAATGTTTTAGATACTGCTGTCTAGATGATACTACTGAGGGTATGTCACTGGGAAGATCAAAGGAAGGACACAACTCATCCATCTGTGGATGCCAATGGCAAGGTCAATTGTCATCTGCATTGTTTGCCCTCAGCATGAAAAAACTGCTCAACCTTAGCCTGATAAGCCATTCTGAAGCCTTTCCCCAGGAAGCACTGGCTGCTAATTGCAAAGCAGTTCTGTCAGCATTTCAGAAAGTTTATGCTCTCTGCCAAGAGCAGGCACAGCCATTTATTTAATTAAATATTTATTCATAAACACTGTTAATGCGCAAAGCACCCATCTAGGTATATGAAAAGTAAAAGGAAGAATTTTATTGCTACAGTTTAATCACCCGATATCAGCTCAATGACTGTGCTTTTTAAGATTTCTGTTGCTCACATCTTTGTTGCAAGTCATCTTGAGCCCTTTCGGAAAGAAGACAAGGCATAAATAATTAATAAACCCATGGACAAATGTCTGTCTCTGTTCTCGGGGTGTTTATGATCCATAACTAACTCAACTTACTGAGAAGTTAATCATAGTGGCTGTCCTTGAGCAGAAGGTTACTGAGATACTTGAAAGCATATAAAGGTGCTCTTAGAGGTGACATCATGAGCTGTCTGCTCACAAGTCAATCCATCACTTTACTTCCTTATAGAATATACATACTGTACTCTCCATTTGTCTACTTGTCCCCTACACACACACACACACACACACACACACACACACACACACACACAATAATGAGCCTTACAAGAAGCTGATCTATATCATAGATGGTGGCCAAGCCCCAAGATTGAGCATGATGCATCTAAAGTTAATCTGCAGAGGTTCAGTAATTATGACACTGATGGTCTCTGTTACCACTTCTGGGCATTGAGATGTGAGAATGAGTAGCATAAGCAATTTGTAAGACAAACATCACAGGAAAAGTTTTCTTCTCTGCTTCCTATGAATATGTTGTGTTCTTCTCTGACTACTAGTCGTACTACATACTCCTTACCATAAGGCTGAGGGGGAAGCCAACATGGAGCATGGCAGACTCTAAAGATGGAAAGAATATGACACTCTGAAAACATCACTGAGCCAGTGGACTAAAAGTGGAGTGTCTTTATTTAATGCTGTCCACTGGGGGGAAAAAAGGGTACTCTGAGGCTGGGAATAGCTTTTACCCATGGGTATGAACATATATTTAAAACCAGGTGTTTTAGAGAAGTCCAATGGTATTATATAGCATAGATGTGTTGAATTTATTTATTTAACCACTTAAAGATTAGGACTAGAGTTAGTAGTTCCAAGCATATTTCTTGCATGCAACACTACAGTGAGCATAAATGCATAGAAATTGAGAATACATGTGTGAGCACTCTGCTACGGTAAATTATATGAAATGGAATCACTGATCGAACGTCTACCTCCAAAAGTGCAATTACGGAAACAAAAATCAAGAAGAATGTGTAATGTATAACTATGATAATTTGCATACACAAAAAATTACCTTGGGGAGTTTAAGGGTAAATTATTGACTTTTGTTGGCAGAACCAACACAAGAAAGTAGGCCTTGGTATACTAGGTAAGAATCCCACTTTACACTGCTTCAAGGCTCTTAGATCTTCAGTGAAGCTCTTCTTGACTTCCAGGCAAGGTGGTAGCATGGAAGCTGTCACTGTGTAACAAAGTGATGGAGAGACAGGATAGGATGAAAGACTCTATTACAAAGAAAAAAATGGAAAGAGGTCCAGAAATCTGTTGTGGGATTAATCACATTTTGTGAAAGTTACCTTCTGGTTTGTTTAATAAATAGCTGAATGGCCAATAGCTATGCAGGAGAGTCTAGGCAGGACTTTCAGGGAGAGGAAATGGAATTTAGGCTCATGTGAGAAGCCAGCCAGATGTGGAGCAAGTCAGACATACATTATGGAGAAAAGAGCCATATGGCAGAATGTACATTAATAGAAACAGGTTAATTTAAGTTGTAAGAACTCAAATTGGGAACAAGCCTAAGCTAATGGCCAAGCTTTCATAATTAATAAGTCTCTGTGTCATTATTTGGGGTCTGGCAGCTAATAAGAAAGCACAACTACTGAAATCCACACAGGAGTGAAATGCAAAGAGAAGTAAGGTTTCCTCAGCTGCAGCCCCTTACCTGAGGAAACTAACATGGAAGCTGCTTAGGAAAGTAAGCCAGGACAGGCAGTCCTACCTTCAAGACAAGCCCGCAGACCTCAGAAGCATCAGGTTCAGTCGTAGGCCTTGGTGAGACAGTGATTCCTTCCACAGAGGCGGGGATAGAATCAATTCAATGTGTCACTCTGTATGACTCAGGACAGGGCTGGACACCATCCTGAAAGAGAGCCTATTGTTAAAAACCAAGAAGTTTGATTGTTGTCCTCCAGCTGGTGGGAGGGCTCAGGCTGGAGATCTAATGAATACTCCCCTCAAAAAGAAAAATTATTACACCTATGGCAGAAGTTTTAAGCTCAGTGTCAGCTGCTTCAAGGCAAAATATACGTATGACAAAGGTGTTGAATTCATAACAAATTTACATAATCAAGAGTTCCAGATAAAATGTGTCAATCTAGACATGAAGACCATGAAAAAATATGATGTGTGCCTAAAACACTCATAAGTTGCACACTCTTATCAGCATAAAATGTACACAAAGGCATCCATCCCAGGAAATAGACACTGTGAAGACACTTGAGCTAGAAAAGGCACACACACCTCAAGTTCACAAGAATATCCTCAGTGAACCCAAAACTATGAGTGGTTTAAGCACTTGAGACATATCCAGCCCTTGAAGCATCCACAAGAACTTTGAACAGAAAATAGCATGTGTACCACGTGCCTCAGAATCACTGGGGAGTTAGTGACATCTGATGCCTGTGGAGCAGGAAGCAAAGTTGCCCCCCCCAGGCAGTTTCAGGTTTACAACATGCAAATCACATGTATTTAAAAGGAATTGTTTTCATTAAAATATATATTTCAAAAGAAAAACTGAGATATACTGTGGCCTTAAATCAGGGGACAAATCACAGGTCATAAAGTCTCACTTCCATTTGCCACAGCCCCTAAAGAGTTCATTTCAGGGGTAGGGGCAGCATAAAGATGGGATGCTGACAAGAAAAACTGCCTTAGGTGGCAGGTGGCTCAGGCAGAGAAGCTCATAGGGAGAAAGGGCAAGGATGAATTGAGAGAAATTTGAATGGGAAAGTACTTGCCACACTTGCGCATGGATGCCTACACACATGAGTACATACATGGGCATGTACACATACACACAACTAATTAAGGATGCCCAGAAATGAGTCTCATTTGCTGGTAATAAACTTGAAGTATGATAACTCTGAGCTTTGGGTGAGTGGATAGATTGTCCTCTAGAGCCACCTATGTGCTATTTACTTCAGGAGAGCCTGTATCCTTCCCACAAGACAATTAAGAGGAAAAAGCAAAGGCAGCCCTTTTGCCTACACAGATGGATCTCAGTGCTGTGATTTCTTCTATCCTCACAGTAGACCTGCGAGACGCAACCCAATTAGAATATTAGCCACCCCAGCAGATAGAATCTTAAAAGTTCAAGAAAGGTGGGAGAATATGATCAGCCTACAGATTTCAGAGCTAAACATGAGACCAGGTGAAGTCCCTTTATCCCCTCATTCAAAAAAGAAAACTCATCAAATTTGGAGGTAGCACTGGAGGACACTGAGTACACATCCAATACAAGCTTAGTCACCCTGGTTTGTGGAGTCACATTAAATGTAAATGGATTAAACCCAACAATAAAGAGATTAAGACAATAGCAAAAGAAATTACTTAGTAGTGAGTTGGCATTCTCAGCTTACCGCTTTAGATTGTGGAGAGCTGTGATGCGCCTCACCAGAAGATGGTGCCAGTTTCAGCCTTCCACCATCCCGAAGGTGATCGCTCTCTGGAATAAACAACTCCTTATTTGGCTTGGTCTAAGATTCAAACTTGCATCAGCAAATGCGAGCCTATCCTCCTTAGCCACGTGGCGTTCTGGGGTTGGCTGGCAAGAGTGCTTTTAAGCTGTGGGGGGCCTTTCCCCGGAGTCAGAAGATTGTCTCAGTTTCCTGAGTAAACTGCTTAAGGAAGAGTCTCAGCGTTGTGTCTTCCTTGCTGGTCGAGGCGGTCGTGACATTAGATATTGTTCCTTTGCTTACTATTTGTGACATCTTGATACAATATGTCGTAGAGATGTCCTTTTCTGGTAATGTTTACTTGGATGATAAATGTCTCTTATGTTTGGTTGATAGGTGCATAATTTACAGAAACTAAACAAGTACATGGATACTGAATCATGTGTTCTTTTTGTTGTCTTAGTTATTTTTTTTATCTTTTTTGAGATGTAATTACATTGCTTTTCCCTCTCCTCCCTCTAAACCCTCTCACATATCAATCCTTGTTTTCTTTCAAATTCATGACCTCTTTTTTCAATAATTCCTATTACACATGTGCATGAACAATGTATTCTTAAATAGGCAGTGTGCCACTAAAAATGAGAAAGAAATTTGAAAAATTCATAGAGTTAAATAAAAATAGGGGCAGAATTTACCAGAACCTTTGAGATACAGCCAAAACAGTTACAAGGGGATAGTTTAAAATAGTTATGAGTGTTCACATTTTTTAAAAGAAAAAATTCAAATAAATCCCTTAAAGAGGTAGACACAAGAAATAATGAACATTGAAACAACAATTAAAATGAAATCTGAAAGAAAAATATATTAAATCAATAAAAAAAAACTATTGATCTTTGAAAAGGGAATTAAGGTTGAGAAGTACTTAACCAAATTGGCTAAACGAAGAATATCTAAAAGTAGTGAAATTAGCATTAAAATGAGGTTACCATATATTCTAGTGAAGTTCATATAACCATTAAAGAAAATTACATTTAAAAAACTGGAAATTTTAGAAGAAATGTTTAAATTTCTAGACACATATAGCATACCAAAATCAAATCAAGCTGTATAAACAACTTAAGCAGTTCCTTAACAATGAGATTGTAGTCACAATAAAGCCTTTTAATAAAGAAAAGCCCAGGAATTGATAAATTCAGTTCTGAATTCTACTAAACGAGTTCAAAGGAGCTCCTTAAACTGTTTCATAAAGCAGAAGAGAGGGAATTTCTAGTGGCATATATATCGTGTTAGGATGAGGCTTCAGTGTGCAGACGAGACCCCTTATAAGGAAGAGGAGGGGCTCGCTCACTGAGCCTCTGAGGGCAGAAGAACATGGTGGTGGTTGTTTACCATTATTGTGTGAGTGCTCCCCAAATAAATAACTACTAATTCTTTATTAAGATGTCCGTGAACTTCATTTAACCTACCTCCAGGAATAGTGTCACTGTCACACTCATTCTATGAAAACAGTGTTAACCTGATACCAAAACTGGATAAGGACACACCAGTAAAAGCAAACTCTAGACCAACTTTCTGATGAACGTAGATGCAAAATTTCTCAGTAAAATTGAGAATTGTCCACAATAAAATTCATGAGCACACTAAGGAGAGCAGATATCATTTAAAAAGTGTTTTCAATGAAGGGATGTCAAGTTGGTTCAGTGTCCATTAAGCAATAAATGGCAATAATCAGTGCATAAATCAACCTATGAACAGAAATTACATGGTTATCTTAAGAGATGTTGAAAAATACCTTCAATATCACTTCATGACAAAAACTCTTGCAGAATTTTTGGTTGTGGTAATTGTGTGTTGATATGACTAGCTTCTAACATCAGAAGTTATGGTTGCTGACACCTCCTATAACATACAGAGCAGTACCAAAAACCACAGAATTATCAGGCTCAACATACCACATTGCTGAAATTGAGGCCCCAGTAACAGTTCCACCTCCATCCACTGTCCAGGGTAGGTTAGGGGTTGTTTCTGGTTCGGCGGCCCTGCTCAGAGACATCTGACCCCAGGGGTCTGCTCACTGGATCTGAAATTGGCAGCAGGATCCAACACTCTGGGATGCTGCCGAAGCCCCGATAACAGTGCCACCTCCATCCACAAGAAGAAGACAGATATCAGAGTACTGGATCTGCATCTACCAAAAGATGCAGATCTTGGTCCCATACCCACCAGGAGAGGAAGAGACTCCTGCTACACCCACCAGAAGAAAGGATGAGAAGAGGTCAAGGTAAAAGCACATCCAACAACAGAAAACCCAATATGACACCACCAGAGACCAGGAACCATACACCAGCAAGATGTGAACATCACAATGCAGATGAAGCAGAAGAAATTGACCTAAAAAACATCTTCATGAAAATGATAGAGGACCTCAAAGAGGATATGAGAAAATCCCTCAAAGAAATGGAAAAAACACCAAAAAAATACAAGATATCAACAAATCTCTCAAGGAAACAGTTCAAGATGTAAAAACTGAAATAGAAACAATAAAGAAAGCACAATCAGAGGAAATGCTGGAAATAGAAAAGCTGGGTAAATGAACAGGAACAACACACATAAGCATAACCAACAGAATACAAGAGATGGAAGAGAGAATCTCAGGAGTTGAAGACACACTAGCAGAAATAGAATCATCAACCAAAGAAAATCTTAAGTCCAACAAATCCCTAACACAAAATATCCAGGAAATATGGGATACCATGAAAAGACCAAACCTAAGAATCATAGGTATAGAAGAAGGTGAAGAAATCCAACTCAAAGGCACAGAAAATATATTCAACAAAAGAAAACTTTCCCAACCTAAAGAAAGACATGCCAATAAAAATACAAGAAGCCTACAGAACACCAAATAGACTGAACCAAAATAAAAGGACTCCTCTCCACATAATAATCAAAACACCAAACATACAGAACAAAGCCAAAATATTAAGAGCAGCAAAGGAAAAAGTCAAGTAACTTATAAAGGCAAACCTATCAGAATCACACCTGACTTTTCCATGGAAATTCTGAAAGCCAGAAGGTCCTGGACAGATATGCTACGTATACTAAGAGTCCATGGATGGAGCCCAGAATACTATACCCAGCAAAGCTTTCAATCAATATAGATGGAGAAAATAAGATATTCCGTGACAAAACCAGATTCAAACAATACATATGCACCAATCTAGCCCTACAAAATGTTCTGGAAGGAAATCTGCAACACAAGAAAGTTAACTACAACCAGAAAAATATAGGCAATAGATAATCCCATTTTACCAACAGCCAAAAGGAAAAAGGGATAAAATCCCACACATAATTTGGCCACCATCACCAAATCAAAAACAAACAACAATGAACAATCAATGGTCATGAATATCCATCAACATTAATGGTCTTAACACGCCTATAAAAAGACACAGATTAGCAGAATGGATAAGAAGACAGAATCCACCCTTCTGCTGTATACAAGAAACACACCTCAACTTCAAAGACAGATGGTACCTAAAAATTAAAGGTTGGGGAAAGATTTTCCAATCAAATGGACCCAAGAAACAAGCAGGGGTAGCAATCCTAATATCCAACAAACTGGATTTTAAACTAAAATCAATCAAAAGAGATTAAGGAGGTCACTTCCTACTCATCACAAGAGAAATCCATCAAGATGAAGTCTCAATTCTGAACATGTATGCCCCAAATAGAAAGGCATCCATGTTTGTAAAAGAAACATTACTAAAACTCAAGTCAAACATAAAAATGCACACACTTATAGTGGGATACTTCAGCTCCCCACTCTCACCAATGGACAGGAATACCAGACAGAAACTTAACAAAGAAACAAAGGAACTAATAGAAGTAATGGCACAATTGGACTTAACAGACATCTATAGAACATTCCATCCAAATGCAAAACAACTTACCTTCTTCTCAACACCACATGGAACTTTCTCTAAAATCGACCACATACTTGGCAACATAGCAAACCTCACCAGGCACAAAAAAATTGAAATAACCCCCTGTGTCTTATCAGACCACCATGCTTTAAAGGTAGAATTCAACAACAACACCAATTACAGAAAACCTACAAACTTATGGAAATTAAGTAACACCCAATTGCATAATTCCTAGGTTGAGGAAGAAATAAAAAATGAAATTAAAGATTTCCTAGAATTCAATGAGAATGCAGACACAACAGACCCAAACCTATGGGACACTTTGAAAGCAGTGCTAAGAGGAACACTCATAGCACTATGTGTCCACATGATGAAACTGGAGAATAATCACACTAGAGAATTAACAGCACAACTGAAAAATTTAGAACACAAAGAAGCCAATACACCCCAGAGGAGCAGATGCCAGGAAATAATCAAATTGAAGGCCGAAATAAAAAAATTGGAAACTAGGAGAGCAATACAAAGAATCAATGTAACGAAGAGTTGGTTCTTCAAGAAAATCAACAAGATAGACAAACCTTTACCAAACTTACCAAACAGCAAAGAGTGAACATGCAAATTAATAAAATCAGGAATGAAAAGGGGGACATAACAATAGACACAGAGGAAATCCAGAGAATCATCAGGTTATACTTCAAAAACCTATTTTCCTCAAAATTCGAAAATCTAAAGGAAATGGACAATTTTCTGGACAGACTTCACTTACCAAAATTAAATCAAGAACAGATAAGCAACGTAAATAGACCTATAACCCCTAATGAAATTGAAGCAGTCATCAGAAGTCTCCCAACCAAAAAAAGTCAAGGGCCAGATGGCTTCATTGCAGAATTCTACCAAAATTCAAGGTACAGCTAATACCAATTTTCCTCAAAGTATTGTACACAATATAAGCAGAAGCATCATTGCCAAACTCTTTTTATGAGGCTTTAATAACCTTGATACCCAAGCCACCCAAAGACACAACTAAGAAAGAGAACTACATACCAATATCCCTCAAGAACATTGATGCAAAAATACTCAATAAAATACTGGCAAATTGAATCCAAGAACACATCAGAGAAATCATCCATCACGATCAGCTGTAGCCAATATCCTGCTTCTGACAACCAGATATAGTGAGAAATTACCAATACGGAGTCAGGTAGAAATATAAGGGTATTTAATAGGGAAAAGCCTTACTTACAGAGTGACCTAGCCAGCCGGCGTGGCAACAGCCTGTATAGCAAGTTCCAAAGTGAAATCGAAAGAGCAAACGCAATCACACTACATCACCCTGACCACTCCCTCACAAGCGTGGTCAGCCCCTAAGTAGGCGTGGCTACAGCTTCCCCTACAATGATCAAGTAGGCTTCATCCCAGGAATGCAAGGATGATAATAAGATTGATGACTGACTTATATGCCACCCAATAGCCCTCATCCAGAAGCTGGTGGAAGTAGAAGCTGACATCCACAACTTATCACTGAACTGAACTGGAATCCAGATGCAGAGAAGGATGAGTGAAGAGCAATGAGGTCCAGACCAGGTTGGTGAAACCCACAGAAACAACTGACCAGAACACTGGGGAACTCTTGCTCCCCGGACTGATAGCTGGGATACCAGCATGGGGACTGATCCAGACTCCAGGAACATGGATTTCATTGAGGAAACCTCGGAAATCTACAGGACCTCCTGTAGTAGTTTAGTACTTATCCCTAGCATAGGTGTGGACTTTGGGAGCCCATTCCATATAGAGTAATACTCCCTGAGCCAAGACACACAGGGGTGGGCCTAGGCCCTATCCCAAAGGATATGATAGTCTCTGATGACACCCTATGGAAGGCCTCCCCATCCAGGGGGAGCAGAAAGGATATGTGATAGGTAGGGTTTTAGTGGGGGATGGTGGTAGGGGAGGGGGGGAGAAGGGAACTGGGATTGTCATGTAAAACAATCTTGTTTATAATTCAAATTTTAAAAAAAATCTGAAAAAAATAGCACCTCACTATTCTGTACCCCTCTAAGCTTTCTAGTCACTATTGAATGAAATATTTGAATAACTATGTCTTATAGAAGAAAGAAAATACAAGAGGAATCATCATGATTACCTCACTGGGATTACCTAAAAAAAATTAAAAGCCATCTTGGAAGAGTTAGAGTGAACAATGGGGTGTGTCTTCATAGAGTGCAAGCCTCATGAAGCCAGGGACTTTGTTTCTACTTCCCCGTGCTGTAGTGTCCAGCATAAGGCTTGACACAAAATGAGTATTTCTTGTTAATTCCAAATGATGATAAACACAAGCTGGACCCCAAAATGCAAAATTAAAGAAGCTTCATGTTTTAAATCATCAACATTGCCAATGACTCACACTGCTATGCAAGCTCTCCCAATTCTTCCTGCTGTTTCTTTCATGAGCATCCATCCTAGTGTTCTTCCAGATTCATTAGGGAATATCTGCCACCTTTAAACACTAATTATCCTGACATTTTCAGACCCAAAGTTAAATGTATCATCAATGAGCTTTAACCTTATCAGTTAGAGCCCTGTACCATGGCACTTAAAGGATGGTCAGCTAGTTCCCAAGACTGTAACCTGGAAGGAATTATCCAATCCTGCTTCAGGACTTAGAGGGACAAAAAGGAAATTTATATATCAGAAAACATTGCATTTACACAAAGAAATATAGTGTGTATGGAAACCAGAATATCCCTGGTGCTAAGCTTTGTCTTCTGAAAGGGACTGTTATTCACAGTCAGATGGCAAACGTTACTAACTTTTAACCAAACTTACCTTTCCCAACGTGTGTTGTAAGCCTAATAGGCTTCTGTGTAAAACCGTTAATGTTCCCCCATTTGTTCATTTTGATTCCTTTTGTCCCTTCAGTCCTCCTTGTTACTAAATTTAGATTTGATCTAGTGAAGTTATGAACCCAAAGAAAACCTCAGGGTGTTCAGGAAATGTGTGCACTTGAGGGCCAGTGTTGTAAAACCAAAAGAGATGTTCCCTGTGTGAAGAACACTCCAGGCTAGATGCACTGTTTTTCTTAAAGCTGTCTAAAGATTGATTACATATCATCATTGACAAAAGAAGCACATTTATTCATGTCCATGTAGTTCATTGCAAAATCTTTCACAACCAAAATGTTATGCTAAATCATAATGTCAATTAGTGGACACA